CTTAAGAACCACTGCTTTGGGGTTCCCAGACCCAGCCTGACTACATACATCTCAGCGTTCCCAACCAAACACCAGAGTCCATAAGCAAAGAACCTCCCAATGTAGTGAGGCCATCATACCAAATTCACTCTCATCTGCATCTTCATGCATGGTGTCTCACTAGCCTTTCCTTCTAACCAACTCTCCGTAGTGTCATGACTGCCCCTGCTCCATAGGGCTTTTCACACCCAGCTCAGGTTTCCTTGCCCACCTACTACCTCCTTGTACCACAAACACACACCCTGCCCTTGCACTCCCTGAGTCTTCAGGAACTTACAGAGGGAGGCTGCCTTCACCAGGTCTCCTCAGTGGTAGGAAGGGACAGAGGAGGGTAGGCCCTCATCAGACCGTCTCCAAGGGGTGAGACCATCAGGGGCAAGCCTCCATGTCAGGAAGCCCAGAGGCAAGAGATTCAAGGTGGAAGTTTGGGATGGGTTCGCAGGTAGGGAGCTGAAGTGCTGAGCTGGGCTCTCGCCTGGGAAGTCACCAGGGGATGGGAAAGGCTGACATGGTGGAGCCTTAAGCAGGAAGAACCTGGAATTCCAGGAAGAGGGGGCCTCTAGAACAGTGATGGCGAACCTATGACACGCGTGTCAGAGGTGACACACGAACTCATTTTTTTGGTTGATTTTTCTTTGTTAAATGGCATTTAAATATATACAATAAATATCAAAAATATAAGTCTTTGTTTTACTATGGTTGCAAATATCAAAAAATTTCTATATGCGACACGGCACCAGAGTTAAATTAGGGTTTTTCAAAATGCTGACACGCCGAGCTCAAAAGGTTCGCCATCACTGCTCTAGAAACTGGGCCAGCCCTCAGCTGCCAGCCAGCAAGAAAGCAAGGACCTCAGTCCCAAGTGAACTCTGCCAGCACCAGGAACGAGCAGGAAGTGGGTCCTCCCCCAGAGCCTCCAGAAAGGCTAGCTCTCACCTATGTTGTAAGTCAAGCCATCTTTTCCCTCCTTTAAATGTACAGACGGGCGTCTCTCAGAGTTGGGATAGAAGGCGGAAAAGCCGTGCTTTTCTCACAGGGGGCTCCTGACGGTAGGCACCCACTGCCAACAGCGTCAGCAATGATAGGAAAATCATGGTGGCTGCTTTATGGATAAGAATCTAATTATCCAAGTCTCACAAGGAAGGCATACAGGCACAATTAACTGAGTCGACCTGCAAATTGGATGTGCAAAGATCCTGTGTTTTGCCCCTCAAAGGAGAGGAAAAAGATCTTCACTTCAGAAAACAAACAAACAAACAAACAAAAACACCAAAAACAAGATCCTAACCACAGGGTTTACTTGGGCAATTTATTATTTTTCCAATAGCATTGATTTTTATCCATTCATTTAAATCACCTTGATTATCTGTTGAATTTAAATGCTCATTAATGTAAATGGCTGAGCAAACCCATTCCAATGGTTACTCAATATCCCACAGAGTTAAGTCACTTCAGCACAGCCTCACAACAACTCCCACACCAAACAGTACTTTATTTTGTCCATTTAAACCCACTATTACTACCATGCTATAGGGTTTTTACCTGTCAAGTGTACTAGATGAAGAAAAAATTTAGTTAGATAGGGGTTGCACCTGGAAAATAAGTTTTGTAAACTCCATACACATGTTCAAAACTGCTGGGTCCCCAGTCCATCTATGAACTCCAGGGTTGCCAGTATCATGCGCAGCACATGAAAGCCACACTATCTGACTAGCTTATTAATTCTACATAAATCAGGCCAATCAATGTGTCAACCTGTGCACAGACCATGCACTTTTAACTGAACGTGGCAAAATACTCACTCTTTTGAACTTTACATCATCATTTGATGTCAAACAATGAAGCAAATCCCAACAGTATATACAAAAACAGCTTTGCATTTACAAAAGATTGTTTCCCATGCTGATTAATCCAGCAGCTAACTCATTGGTTTATGCAACTTTATTGAAGAAAAATAAATCAATGACTAGCAGAGCTATTAGTTGATCACTCATCGATTGACAACTTGCATCATTTATTCAGTGGTATATTAAACAGTGTATTGGAAGACAGATTAACTAATAGCTCCGAGCCTCCTGACAATTTAAATGGAAATCACAAAATGTTGGAGACCCTATTTGGGAATACAAAGGATGTTTGACTTCCAATTTCCATTCTCAGTAGAGTAAGAACAGGTCATTCCTTTGTTGACATGCCAAGAGACATCACATTTTCTGTTCTGCTGATGCTATAAATTCAATACCAGTTCTCCAGCCACATCAGTTATGAGTGTAGAGTATATCATGTAACCTCAGATCTCTAACAGTGGAAGAGATAGATGCTGCTAGAATAATGCTGTTTCCTTTGATGGGACAACTGAGCACCCATCTCCCTCCTCCTCAGATGATGTCTTCAGCATGTTAGATCAGTGAGGAATGGTTTCATCTCATAACCAAATTAGAGTGAAGATATTGGCCACAAAATACACATGCCCTGTTTTTTAAAAATTCTGAATCTTGGGCAACTGTCCTCTTGTAACTACAGTTTCTAAAGCAGTTATTGTTCAAAGCTGGAAGAACTTAAGTCTTCTGAGATGAGCTTGTGAATGAATGGAGGGAGGTAAACAAAAAATAAAATTTAAAAAGATGAGGTCTGATAGGGGAGCAGCTGGATTAAAAAATAAAAAAAGGAACAGTAATTTCAAGTTCATTCCAACTATAATGCAGGTTATTCTGACTTTAAGGTAGTACCACATGGAATACTTCTGAGTCCATTCCCGAGATATTCTCTTGTGCTTATCTCTGTCTGTGTTTTAGATCCCTGCAATCTCTGGCCCTAAGGTGTCATCTGGGTTTGGATCACATAGCAGTGAACAAATGGATAAAAGCACTTTAGAGCCTGGTCGGCTTGGTTCAGTGGTTGAGTGTTGACCTACGCACCAGGAGGTCATGGTTCGATTCCCAGTCAGGGCACATGCCTGGGTTGCGGGTTCGAACTCCAGTGTGGGGTGTGCAGAAGGCAGCCGATCAATAATTCTCTCTCATCATTGATGTTTCTCTCTCTCTCCTTCTCCCTTCCTCTCTGAAATCAGTTAAAATCTATTTTAAAAATAAATAAATAAATAAATCCATTGGGCAGTATTTTTCGCCTCCTAATTGACTTACTTGTGCTTGACTATTACATGTAGAGAAAGGACTTACATGAAAAGAGATGAGTTCTGAAGTACTCACCTACAAGAGACATACACCAATAAAAACTATTTCAACCTAGCTTCACATTTCATTACCTACCAGAACTGGTTCTTTCTGATATGTATGACATTTATTATACAAACATTTATTGCACAACCACCAGGTGCCTGGCAATGTCCTTGGCTCCAGAAAGACAAAATAAGTAAGTCCTTGACAAACTGAGGAAAGAATGTGCTATGTAAACAAGTAGCTACATGGAAATGTCGGATACTTAATGCTAAAAACACAGTGCAGTACATGGGAACTTGGACACCCGTGCCTGAGCGTTCCCTGGGAAGAGGGCATTCACTGCTGCCCATGAGATTTCTGAGATGGAAGCAGAGGAATAAATGTGCGTCACGCCAGCACATGCAAGACACAGAATACACCGCCACTTTTACATAGACATGTATGAACGTTACCTTGTCTGAAGAACATATGGAAAACATTTTAAATCTGAAGACTTAGTGTAAGCAAACTCAGCACGTCAGAGGACTACAACATGATGAAATTTCTCTAGACAGGGCTGTCTGAAAACATTTGGCAAACATTAGGTCGATCTGGCAAAAATGACACTTTCCCAATGCAAAGAGAAGGCAAATAAACATGCTTGTTAAAAAGATGAGTAAAATGAAGCCCCACACCCCCAAATCTCTCATTCCTCCTCTTTCCCAACTCTTCTCTCCTGGTCAAACCTAGATAACTTGGAGGACCCTAATTCCTAAGCGTGCCTCAAGTATCAGTTAGTACCTACTCACTGTTCTAAAAGCTGACATTACCCTCCATCATAATCACAGACATATTAGCCAAGTTCAGTGTAACTCCGAAAGAACAAAAATTATTCAAAGATGAAGTGTTGTCACAATATTAAAATGTTTTATTAAAAGCTATATGAATTTGAACTTGATCGGAAAAAACACACACACATATATAAGCAGTTGCCCCAGTCTACTGTAAAAACCCGCAAACAGGCAGATAAAAAAATGGATAAAATCTGCAGGCCATTCTATCTTGACGATAACGTAATATATATGTACTTAAATGTAAAAGATGGTTATTATAGGAGTTTTAAATATTACTTTATAATACAGAAATAGTCACATTTCATAAACATTGAGAGAAACATGTGCATGTCTGCTTCGTAAGGACATGTATCCATTCAAAACAGATCCCACAAGTAAAGTAGATGGTTTCCCTTGAATCCAAATATTTCCCTGGGTGGGATCCAGAGCCAGGAAAAAAAAGGAAATCATAAAAGGAGAAAAGCGCGTAAGCTCAGGTACATTGCTTTGCAAATCCACATTTTCCCAACCCTTAATTGAGGAAGTCAAACCACTCCTCCTGGCTTCTTTATACAGCAGAACACTTACAAACAGAACACATTCAGGAGAAGAAAGGTCAAATTACCCTTCAATTTAAGTAATCCCTCTAATGAAATCATGGCAATAAACACAGAGAACATGATTTATTGAGCCACATTTCTAATTTGGCAAAACATTTGAACACATAGTTTTACTTACCTTAACTAGGGGTTCTCAAAAGGCAGGAAGTACTCTTTGAAAACAGTAATTTTGAAAACTAGTACTAGATTTACTGGGGGCATCACTTTGTAAGTTATAGAAATGTCTAACCACTATGCTGTACACCTGAAACTTGTATAATATTGAATGTCAACCATAATTGAAAATTAAAAAAGGAAGAAAAGACAGTCAAACCTGGGGGACTTTTAGAGGGCATCGAAGCGGCACTTACGTAAATCTGGTCTCTCTTATATCGCTGGTGTAGGTTGTGCATGATGGAGCCCCCGTGCAGCTCCGTCAAGGTGGCCATGTCCTCCACGCCCTCCTCGTTCATGGGGTGCATGGCAGTCACCTTCTGGTGTGTAATTGTGCTCTGCTTGTATGTGAATACCTGAAAGAAGGGGTGGGATAAATTCAACTGTTTAGTTATCAGCAGCAAAGAGTTTCTAGAAGTTTCCTGAACATACCATACAAACAATACACATTTCCGCAACAAGATCCTGAATTGGCCAATAAAAAACAAACTGCATAGAACTTTTTCATTTTTTTGTGTGTGAGCCACCCATCTCTTTTTAAGGGAAGAAATTATCTTGACAGTTGCTGTTAGATGATCTTAAGAGACATTAGTTCGGGGCTAACCATCCTTCGGAAACCACAAAAATTATAACCTTAGAGTTCACTTCTCTGCCTATTTCTCTAACTGATCTAAATCAGTTAAGAAACTGGCTAACCAAGCTTTTAGAAAACAGTTTGGTTTCACTGCATAATGTTTCACACGGGATCATATATTTCAAAGCTTCATAATAACATTCTTCCATTTAAGTGGTACGTAAACTCACTGTATGTCTACAGATTTGTTCAAAGATTGGAACGCATTTGCCCAGGAATGTTTGAAAAATATCCCTGGACGCTCTCCCCTCACTATCGGATTATACTAGCATAGCATTCATGTGACCTTTAGGCAAAACAAACCCTCTCTCAGATTTAAAATAAAATCGGTTTGTTTGCTTGACAGCCTGTCTTCCTGAAAGTCCCAAATGCCCATGGTGAGTGCTGGACACCAGCTTTTTAGCATGTACTCGAGACAACTCTGACACTGTCAGACTGATTTCCGAATGTGCATGGATTTCTCAAACCTACTCAGTCCTCTTTTCTCACAACTGATTTGGTTTCAGGTTAACCATTTCAAGTCAGCTCCATCTGTTGACTAAGCCTGTCCAGCTTTACATGCAAACTCATGTAGTAACATCATTTAATTATGGCGTCTACTCCATATTTATTCACTTCACACTTTTATTACGTTCGTCCCCAAAACAAGAACTCCAAGATGCAAAAAAACAAACCAAAAATAAACAAGAACCTAAAAGACATGAAAATACACACCCATTCTCACGTGTGCACATACACACACCAAACAACCTTCTGGAATATTTGCACAACTTTATGACTGGGGATTCTGTTTTTAATATTGACCAGTTGCCTACATGGCAACAAATGGTAATATGTTATTGCAAAAGAGAATGACACACCAAAAAAAGCAAAAGTACCAATTTGATGGTTTTCAGAAGCCACGGAAAGTGGCATGTTTTCTTTTTCTAGAGAAAAATTAAAACTTCAGCAGTGGCATTTCTTCCATGTGAACCACAAGAGCTGCTGAAAACCAGTCCTGAGACACTACTCGAGGCCAGGGCAGACACCCTGCTCGTCTTCTGAGGACCAGCCACTCTCCCCAGCTGTTTCCTGTGCTGGGACACCCACCAGGAGATGCACCCCTCCCAGCAGCCCCACCCCTGGCGAGGTGGCCAAACCTGCCACGTGAGCACCCGCAGGCTGGGGCAGGCCTGGGGCCCTGGGAGGGCACTCGGGGTGGAGTTTGCCAGGATAGCAAGGTGGTAAGAAAAATGCACGGGAACATTCAAGAGTGTGGAAACACTCAGGACACCCACGCTCGCATTTTAACTCATAAATATCATGGAAGAAAGTTAAACAGAGAGATGTAGGCGAGAAGTACAAGTAGTTATGTTAGGGCAACATGGAAAACCCCAGAAGCAACAGCTGGAACCCTCTGCCTTCCCCAGCTTTCTACATGCCCATGATGTCAATCCAGGCAGGTCTGCCAGAACCACCACCACTGGGCAGGTTTCTTGGTCTTCCATTGGAAGTGACTGTGAGGGTGGGCGCAGATGCAGAACTTGGCGGGGCCAGGGAACGTCTGGTGGGCTGGGCGCACAGAAACCCCGTGTGTCGTCCTCTCTCTGCTCCCAGCACTCCCGGGAAGGTCTCTCCTCACTCTGTTTGCTCAAAGCTCCTGCCAACACAACTGGCAGACAGGTTACTCAAGTTCCCCGGAAACATCTTTCTCGTAGGAACCAAGACATGCCACTAAAGCCAGCAAAACTACCACCAGCAAGTCCTGCCCAACATGAAAACAAACAACTTTTTCCACAAATTGTCTGGGTGGATGGAGAATCCCAGAATTTGGGGACAGAAATAATTTAGAATATTAAAATTGTTGTCTGTATTTCTGTTGATTCTGCTTTTTTTGGAAATAATACACATGGTACAACACTTAGACACTAAAATATGTATGAACAGTGATTAAGTATTTATGACCTATGTAAACATTGCATTGCTTTTTAATGTGCTGGGAGCAACAAGACCATTTGTGAGCACAAGTAAGCCGCTCAGAGCTGGTCACATGGCCACTGAAAAAAATGGCATGACCTGTAAATAGAGTTCCCCACCTTCTACACTGGTTTCCTTAGATATTCTCAGGAACACACCGAGTACACAACTGGGCCCGTGCCCATTCCAGGAGAGGGGCGATCAGGAGATCTAGAACAATCCTCATGACCTCAAGGAGAGGACATGATGATGGAAGAAAACAGTGACATAAACAAGAGGCTATGAACAGAAAAAGAAACATTCTGCTAAGATACAGGAGTGCAGCTGCTCAAAACAATGATTATTTCAACAAAAAGGGGAATAGTAGAGAAAATATATTTGTGAACTAAAGGCAAAGAAAACCATCCACTTGGAAATGGGTTAATATTTGTAAAGATCTTAGAATGATGTGTGGCACATCAAAGGTGCTAAATAAGTGCCTGATAAATTAATTAAGAAAATTCATTCATTCAAGCAAATATTTCCTGGTGTGTTCTAAGCACTGGGAATATAGCTTACATTCCAATAAGGAAAAGGGGGGAAAACCCAAACATACCAGCAAGTATATAGCGTCACAGATGGTGAGGAATGTCTATGAAGACATCATGAAGGTTAGGGGACTAAGTACCAAGAGAGGTTACTTTATATTAGGTATTCTGGAACAGCCTCACTGGTAGGATAATATCCAAGTAGAAACCCTACGTTAGTAAGGGATGAAACTTGCCCCCTGAATTCAGGATGCTAATGCATACAGAGTGAGGCATACCCAGTTATTCATATGGAAAATAATAATACAAGAATAAACCGTGTTTTGCATACTCACACATATAAACCTACATTTGCTCCACATGATTGAATTTTCAAAGATTTCAATGGATTGATAAGACCAACAATCTTATTCAAGGATTTTTAAATTTGTATTTTATTGAGATCAGAGAGGAAAGGAGAGGGAGGGGGAGAGATAGAAACATCAATGATGAAAGAGAATCATTGATTGGTTGCCTCCTGCATACCTCCTCCTGGGGATCAAGTCAGCAACCTGAGCATGTGCTCTTGACTGGAATTGAACCTGGGACCCTTCAGTCTGCAGGCCGATGCCCTATCCGCTGAGCCAAGCCAACTAGGGCTCTTATTTAAGGATTTTTAAGGAGAGTCCTTTGAATGATCAAAACTCATTTCTATGTACAATAATCAGCAGGGTATTTAGTTGCACAAGGTTAGTCCAAAATAGCAGAAAGGAAAATTCTAGGTTTAAAGAATGGAATTCTTTTTCAGGAACAGACAATTGCCAACATACAATAACAAGATGTATCTCTAAAAACCCAACTCAGAATAAACTGAGTTACTTCAGTGAAGCATTTATCAGGAGAAATATAGTGAGGTTATGAAATGGAGCAAAATAAGGAAGATTAAAAGACAGGAAATCAATTTAGAGAAAATGTGGGCTCAGAACAAATAGCTCCTGTTATAGAATTACATGCCACTGGTCACAAGATGGACTGGGTTAAGTGTGGAGAACAAAGGAAACCAATCAACACTATTGGAAAAGCAACTCACAGTAGGCTTGCCAAAGGCTGGGTCCACTTCTGTATGAAAAGGCATGGAGTCAATTAATCAGTTAAAACAGCTGAGCCATTATCAATCCCCTTTTATTTTTAACCTGAGGATAGTACACATTGCAAGGCAACCCCACCATACTTACACAACAGTTTCTGTAATAAGGAGTGATGTACTAGTATACAGACTTTCTTGAAGTCATCAGGAACTCTTAGTCATAAAACCTAACTTTTTCTCTTGAAGAGAAAGAGGGCAGGGGGCAGTCTTACCATGTCCTCTCTTGATGAACAGATGGAATAGAGGGTATTCTCAATCTGGGAGACTTCGCCTCATGTTAGCCTGGGATTTCCCTTAGAGTAGGTCTCCAAGTCCTCCATTTTGCCACTTCCCCCAACCTCACCCCCGCCCCAGAACATGTGGCAATGTCTGTAGGCATTTTTGGTTGTCACAACTGGGGGGGATGGAGGAGTTTATTGGGGAAGGTCAGGAATTATCCAGCCCAACTGTCAAGAGTGACAAGGCTGAGATACCCTGGTTTAGAAATCCCACAGCAGGCCAACCAACCAGCTGTCAATATAGATTCTAGAAAAAAATGATGAGAGTAAGGCAATGCCTAGAAGCAAAACCTTTCATAAACAAAGAAAACAAAACAAAAAACAAGTCTTTCAGAAACAATTAAAGACAGTAAACAGAGTAGACGTAAATCAAAGGCCAGAATGACAATATTATGTAACTTAGTTTTTGAGTCTTTCTTATTTGATGCAGCTAAAGAAGAGTCATGGTTATGATGATAATAATGATGAAGATTACTACTAGGCATTGTGTTTGCTTACATTTCTGTATTCCTAATTGTACTGTGTTATGGTCAGACACTATGGTCCAGTGGTCGCCAACCGGTGGTCCGTGGACCAATGGTGGTCCATGAGGTCCGAAAGGTTGGCGACCGCTGCTATGGTCCATACCATTTCTACTTTTGTCTACCTGGCCCGGGGCTCTTGTACCTGCTGTTCCCCTGTCTGGGTCACTGACATCCTGCTACTCTCTTCCTTGAGGTCTCAGCCCAAATGTTACCCTCTCAGAAGACACCTGTCACATGTCTTCATAGCTCATTATGACAGTTTATAATCACTTATCTGATCTATTATCATACTTGTTTAAAACCACCTCATT